GTATAACAATTTTAAAGATATATTATCCTTATTTTTTTAGAAAAATGCTTTTGTTTAAGAAATATATTGAAAATCTTGTAAATTATTCCAGAATATGTCTAATTTGAATAAGCAAAAGTATAAACTATGTTTGACAAGCTGCATTCCTTATTACTTGTCATATTGATTTGGTATATTCTTATATTGTATCATAGTTTGGGGACATATCTGTTGAAATTATGTCAGAGTTAAATTGTATACATATACATGCACAGTGCGTTATTTGGAGTGCAGGTATAAGTAAACCGCACTCCAGAACATGTCCATTGATTGACTAAATTTTGCTGGGGTTTACTTATTGTGATGGCAGAGAAGGGGAAAGCGATAGAAATATCATAAATCAGATGCTCGTTTATAAGTTACTTTTGTGGGGGTTTCATATTGTGACAAGAGGTAACGTTTTTTTATGTTTGATAATGATACAAAATAGAAAGAACACCAAAACACTCGGCAATCTGATAACGCTTCCTCGCACCAATCAGATAGTCTCGTGTTTTGATGCTCTTTCTATAACAAAACTGCAAGTTTCTAACGACATTATGTAATCATACTGTGATTACCTGTAGTGTGTATATCAAATTTGAGCATAATATCTTCAACCAGCGTTTTAGAATTTTTTACTTTAAATGTTTTTGCTATAAAAAATTATTAAGAAAGCAAAATTAATCAAACAACATGTTATGCACATTTGATATTCACCGGTGGCATTGCATTGAAATGCGTGTACGTATTTTGTAAATGAGGAAAAATAAACATCTATCTATCAATTTCAATACAAATAAATGTTGTATGGTCTTTTTTAATAATTGTACAGATATCAACGAATGCTCATCAAATCCGTGTAGCAATGGTGGAATGTGTAAAGATCTTATCAATGGATATGAATGTATATGTGATCAAGGATATGATGGCACTCATTGTGAAAACAGTGAGTTTTGTTCATAAATATTCTTATTACACTTGATATAACAATATAATTAAGTATTTAACTATATTTCAATGTTTGTCCATATCTTTAATGTATCATACTGAAATGTTGCATATTGCTTATTCAAGGTAAGTGCGGAAAAGAAGATGGAATATTTGAACCTTGTCTTTGTTTCAATTATTTTCTATTGAATGCATGTTTTGATTTGTGTTATCATATTTGATTGTATTTGTGTGAATTCGGAAAGTGTTTAAACTAAGAAAAAAGCATGATTTTTTTATTATTTTCAAACAGATGTAGACGAGTGTTACTCCAATCCCTGCAAGAACGGTGGTACATGTAAAGATCTTCTCAATGGATATGAATGTACATGTGTCGTTGGATATGATGGAAGTGACTGTGGCAATGGTGAGATGGAGTGTAACAATATGATTTAGTTTGTGTTCTATTATCGGTTCGTTTAGTAATATTTCACTTCGTGAGATTATGTAAGAATTGTATCTGAATGACAGTCATGGCACGATGTGGCTGTGTTACATCTTATGTAACAGCTCGGAGATTATCAATTTTTATAGCTACTTGCAATGCCATTCATTGCATTATTGTCAGCAATCTAGAGAAAGGTTACCTTTTCTTCGAACTTCTATAGTGTTATATCATTCAAAGTATATAGAAGTGAATTCAAAAATAAGTTTCTTGAAAATTACAATTGAAGGTTTAATTTAGCAAAGAAACGATGTACATGTTTTTGTTCTGTTTTTACAATTGCTTTGTAACATTGCTTGAAAAGGTTTGACCTTAATCAACTTGGTAGTTCCGGTATTCTTACTTGAATATTGTATTATCACTCTAAGGATAATTTGACTGCTTTTTAAATTTGTCTTTTGACGTCTAATATGTGACATGCAGGCTTCATAACCTCTGATCTCCTTTCAAAATTCCATTTTGCTTAGTTCCGCCCAACGCTTTCTTTTACTTATGAACCATACGCCGCTTCTAAAGGAAACGAAAGTGTTGCATTGAATGTTCCATGATAACACACCTGCGGATGTTTCTAAATTCAAAATTGCATCATTTTCAGGTCTTAATGTTGAATTCTGCTTAAGCATATGCAAGGGGCGTGGACGGTATTCTATAAAGATTTGCACGACTGTTATAAGTAATAGAAAAGTAAAATGCCTTTCATAGTCTATGTTTCATATACTGGCTTTACAGCTTTTCGTTTCGATACCCACAGGAAGTCAGCCATTCCGCCTATACCCCACATTCTGGCGCTAAGAAATAACCCTGCCTATTTTAACCTGAGTGTAATAAGTTAAGCAATAAAGTGTAATTTGTTTGCTCACGGAAATTAGCAATGTCCTTGATAGGATTTGAACCCGTGATCACTTGACCATTGTACCGCGATTTGCATAAAATATAATAATAAGATTAATTTGTAAGATGGACAAACACATGTAAATCTTATGTGTTTTAGATGCCTCAATGTCACATTGTTAAGGTTGCCGACTTAAATCATTTGTCCTACACAGCTGTGGGTTCTTTTCCGTTAGGGACTTTTCTTTGATTATTTTATTTGAGGAAGTTTTCACTTAACATACGGAAAACTGAAATGATGCACCAGGGTACCTGAAAAAAATGCCCTATGACCTTAACGGTATCAGCGTCACTTTAAAATCATCAGACCAAGCATATATTTAGAAATGCGAAATAAGAAAACAAGTCAAGGAATACTTCGTACATATAGATTATTATCAAAATATGTTATAAATATTCTAGATATTAACGAATGTTCACCAAACCCGTGTAAAAATAACGGAGAATGTAGGGACGGGATCAACATGTTTACATGCAGTTGCTCTCCTGGTTTTGAAGGAACAGAATGTGAAATAAGTAAGTTAATTTTCCACCAGTATTTGTTTAGTATGATCGGTTTACACAGTGAATACAGAAAATGTCATTCAATTAATAGTGTTTGTCAATAGTGTCCATGTACTTTTGACTATGTACAGAACATCAAAAATGTTATCCACTTTAGTTTATAATGACATTGTAAAACACATATGTGCCCTTTGTTCACAAAGACAAAAAAATCTAAGTCGTATATTACACGAACATTTGTTTGCCTGGTATTCACTTGTATAAGTATAACGAGAAGAATACATTGAATTTGTAGTATGATGTTAACCATAACTTTAGAAAATAATTGAATGTTATTTTGAAAATTATTTTTAAAACATTTAGATATAAACGAATGTATACCGAATCCCTGTAAAAATGATGGTAGCTGTCAAGATCGTGTAAACGGATACACGTGTACATGTGTGGCTGGCTTCTTTGGTGTTAATTGCTCAACAAGTACGTGGTGGTTATTTTTCAGTGTTTCAAATAAGGAAACATGTCCATTTCTATTCTGATTAACAATAATGCTACCTTTGTTTTAGTTAGTTTAAAAATGTGTATTATTATAATTCTTTATCAGTCGTCCGTGACAACGTAATTGTTTATTGCAATAATTACAAATGTTATATAAATGAACAACTCACACATTTTATATATTGCAGATATCAATGAATGTCTGAGTAACCCGTGTGAGAATAAAGGCCGTGGGGAAAAAAAGAAAAGGGGAGGTTTTTGCCATTGTTTTGAGGGTTTGAGGGTAAAAACGGGTGAAATAGGTGGGTTTTTTCCCCCTTTCTTTAAAGAAAAGTTAAGGGGTATTGTTCCCGCATCCCTTTTTTTGAAAAATTTTTGTCTAATTCTGAAAAAATAAAAGTTTAAAAATTTAAAAAAGAAAAATGGGAATGAAGTGCATATTTTTTTTTAACTAAAATTGTATTTTTTTTAAATTAAACAGTTTTTAAAACAAAGGGCGGGACGCTTTGCTGTGCAAAAATTTTAAGTAGTTACTACGCACAGGGGAAGGGGATACGTATCTCTGTCTTGCTTAATTGTTTAGTTATTGCCCTTTGTTCATTTTTAAACTTTGAACATTGTCCAGGACATAGCTCTAAAAGTATAAAAGATATGAAAAAGACACTTTGTAGGTTGACATATCTCATTGTGTAGATGTACAGTGCAAAAGCGCCATAACTCTACCTTGCCTTATTTTGGAGTTTTTGCCCTTTGTATATTTCTTTACTTTGAACTTTGTCCGGGACATTGCTGTGAAACTACTAGAGGTATCAACAAGAAACTTAGTCGGTAGATAGATCTCATTGAGTAGTAGCCTAACTTTGGAATTATTGCATTTTGAACTTTGTCCGGGACGTAACTCTTAAACTACTAAAGGTATACTTTTCTGTGTTAAAAACCTATTCGGGGAGCATCACAAGGTTCAACCGGCTCTTGTTTCGTCAGTTGAATTCTGAGTTTTATAATATTCTACATTTCTTTAACCGTTTGAAACAGATGTCAACGAGTTTATGTTGTTCATGAAAATAGATCAATCTTGACTATCTTATCAATGAGTAATATCGTATCAATAGGCAGTAAAAAGTAAAATGAAATCACATTTTTCCAAATTTTCAAAAATATTGCAAATCATTTGAAAACTGATATAAATGAATGCTTGAGTAAACCCGTGCAAAACATGATAGTACATGTTAAAGAATCTTTGTAAACAAATTACGAATGTACATGTGTTGCTGGGTATAACGGACCTAACTGTGACATTGGTGAGGAAACGCTTTTTATTAAGTGTATAAAATCTTTCTGTTTCTAAAAATTGCATTTATTACATGACTGATATCAAATGATATACCTAAAATCGTGTCACTCAAAAAGTACAGCAAATAGATTGAGGTAATTTAATGATTTTTTGAACATTTCTATAATTGTCTCATTAGCGTTAAAGGCACGTTGTTTTACAATGCCATAACATTATGGCATGAAGTAGGAGACACAAGTTATCACAGTTTAGAAAATAAGAATCAACCTGCACTTCTTTAAATAGGAATATGCGTATCATTTCACTTTTTGAAACTATATTAATATTACATTGATACACAGCTTACTCCTTTATCTTATACAGATATAAACGAATGCTCAAGTAACCCGTGCAAAAATGGTGGTGCGTGTAAAGATCTTGTTAACAAATACGAATGTACATGCGTTGCTGGGTACAACGGCCCTAACTGTGACATTGGTAAGTAAAATTATTTGTAGAGCATATTGAATATAACTTTTTCCGAAGATAAAATATTTCTACATTTCTTACATAAATAACATCAATGTATCTACCCGGTGGCGTACCTTTTAAATGTCTACATAGGATTTCTGATTTTATGTACGTATGTCCTCCTTTTCTTACAAACTTGCTATTGTTTTATGGGGAAATAGATATGCTCATGATATAACATCATAGCATTTATCAATATAACATATTGATTTTTTTTGTTACTCATTTTAATATAACAAATTAACCAGTTTTTCCCCCAGTTTTTAAAAAGTTTTTTGTTTAAAAAACGGGGAGATTTTTTAAATTATTGTTAAACTTTTTTTCAAAGACTTTACTATTTTCCTTTATTTTAAAACAGATATAAAGGAATGCTGGGGGAAAAATCCTTCCCAAGAAGGTGGAATATGAAAGGGGATTTTGGGTTAAAAAATTTATGAATGTACATGGGGTTGCGGGATTATGAGGGAAAATAAAATGGAAAAGGGTTATTTTTGTTAAAAAAATAGATCACTTTTTAAACTTCTAAATCAATTAGAAGTGCAAAAAAACAAAGTAAAATAAATAAGATTTTTTCCTTACTCAGGCATTTTAAATATTACCCCGCAAAGTAATTTTTTCTTTATAATGTCATAATATTACGGTATGAAACAGAAGACAATATTTTATAACAGTTAACAACAAAAACATAAATCTGCACTTATGTCATTAGGAAATGACGCATTATTTCACATTGATCTTGATGAAACTAGATTAATATCACATTGTTACACAGCTATCTCTTTTATCTTAAACAGATGTAAACGAATGCTTGAGTAACCCGTGTAAAAATGGCGCTGCATGTAAAGATCTTGTAAACAAATACGAATGTACATGTGTTGCTGGGTATAGCGGACCTAACTGTGACACTGGTAAGAAAAGCAATATTTGTTAAGCACATTGAATATAACTCTCCCAAAGATAAATATAACTGCATTTCTTACATAAATAACATCAATATATCTACCCGGTGGCGTGTCTTTTAAATGTCTACATAAGATTTCTGATTTAATGTACGAATGTTTTCCTTTCCTGACACATTTGCTATTGTTTCATGGGGAAATAGATATACTCATATTACATTATATCATTATCAGTATAACATCTAATGTTTCGTTGTTACTACAGTTAATGTAACAAACATTAACCTGTTCTTCCCCAAATATGAAACGACTCTTTAATTCTTTTATTTCTGATAAAAACTGGAGATTTGTTATTATTGTGACATCTTTCTAGACATTACTATATCCTTTATTTTAAACAGATATCAATGAATGCTCGAGCAATCCTTGCAAGAATGGTGGAATATGTAAGGATCTTGTAAACGAATATGAATGTACATGTGTTGCTGGATATGACGGAATGAACTGTGAAAATGGTATGCATATATTTAATTTACTTGTCATATTTACCTTTATATTTTTGACAAATTTTATTCTGAAGTAAAGTAAAAAACAAAGAAATTGTTCTATCTCTTATTTTTTAATTTTTGTTGCTGTCAATATTACTGAAATACTATATATCGTCTTATAAATTATTAGACACACTTTCATCGCAAAATTAATAGTTTATGTTGTTCATGAAAATAGATCAATCTTGACTATCTTATCAATGAGTAATATCGTATCAATAGGCAGTAAAAAGTAAAATGAAATCACATTTTTCCACAATTTCAAAATATTGCAAATCATTTGAAACAGATATAAATGAATGCTTGAGTAACCCGTGCAAACATGGAAGTACATGTAAAGATCTTGTAAACAAATACGAATGTACATGCGTTGCTGGGTATAACGGACCTAACTGTAACATTGGTGAGAAAACGCTTTTTAATCTGTCTTTATAATTGCATAACTAATATAAAAAATACCCTTTATCGTGTTATTGGAATAGTACAGCAAATTGATTGAGGTAATTGAATGGAGACTTCCGATCATTTTTGTTATCCTTATCCTTCTTTGTTATTGTTTCATTAGCGCCCAAGACAAATTTATTTATTATGTCATAACATTACGGTATGAAACAGGAGACAATATTATATCAGAGTTAACAAAATTAACATAAACTGCACTTATTTCATTAGGAAATGACGCATTATTTCACATTGTTCTTTATGAAACTTTATTAATATCACATTGATACACAGCTATCTCCTTTATTTTAAACAGATATAAACGAATGCTTGAGTGACCCGTGTAAAAATGGCGGTGCATGTAAAGATCTTGTAAACAAATACGAATGTACATGCGTTTGCTGGGTATAGCGGACCTAACTGTGACATTGGTGAGAAAACGTTTTTTTTCTGTTTAGCATATAGAAAATAACTCTTTTTAAAGATATATATGTCAAAAATTTCATCAAATATATCTACTCATTGTCGTGTCTTTTGAATTGATACATCTGGATGTTTAAGGAAAGAAAAAGAGGTAAAAATTTTCAAAGGTATTGTCGGTACTTTAGATTTAATTTGTTTTATAACTTATGAGATTTTTATTGAAATGAGCGGTAACTTGATTCTTTCATAAAGTATTGGGAATTTTAGTTATTAGTTAAGAAGTTTTTTTTGTTTTGAAACATTCCCCTCGTTTTTAAAAAATATTGTGCACTCCTTCAACTTGCTGCGCTGGGTTTAAAGACATGCTGCAGCTGTTTTGACTTTATCTCCCATCTATATTGTCGGTAGGCCTTTCGTCGTTAAGTCTTTAGTTGTGCCGCAATCTCAGCAAACGATATTATAAATCTCCTGTAAGACCAGGCAAGTCCTAAGAACGCTCTAACTTGTCTTTTAGTCTTTGGCACTTCTACTTCTTTGATTCTTGTAAGCTTTTACCTTTCCATTTGAACAATGCCATTTCCCACCATATGTCCTGTAAAGCCAATGTTGTTATATCCTATATTACACTTCGATGGTTTTATGGTAAGCTCTCTTTATGCCAGTCTTCGGAAGAGCACCCGCAACATTGTCATATGTTCCGTCTAGGTTGTTGTCTGCCCTATCATTTTGTCAACACAGTTGTCAACATAATCACATCCTGACAATACATTCTGCATCATTCTGTTGAATGTGGTCCCAAAGTTAACAATGCCGAAAGGCATTTTCCTATATTAATAATTCCCTCTATCCGTTGCAAATTCTGTAAATCTGCGACATTTTTCGGCAACTTGGATTTGCCAATAACCATTGCACAAGTCGATCTTGGTAAATAACTTAGCATTTTTCAGCTTTGCCATGATGTAATCAACGCTTGCAAATGGTTCGGTGTCAAATTTGGTGACAGTATTCAGTCTTCTAAAATCAATACAAAACCTTTTACTTCCATCTTTCTTCTTGACTATGACTATTGATGCATTGTATTGTGACACAGATAGTTCAATCACATTAGCCTTTAGCATGTCTTGTATTTCGTTTTTTTACATCTTGTCTCTTAGCATATGGTATAGGATACTGCTTCACTCTTACAGGATTCTTGTCTGTTAATTCAACGTGGTGCTCTATAAGTGGAGTTGTTCCTGTTCGCTCTGAAAGTGCTTCGCTAAACTGTTAATATTGATAGGTCTTGCTTCCTCTGTTCAGGAGTAAGTCCTTCGCTGATGTTGACATCTTGGTATGTCTCTCCACTTGAGTAGTTTGGAAAGTCTAGGAGACTTTTCTCATATAATGCTCCATCAACGTTTCCTAAGATCTGACGTAACCATAATACATGTGACGTAGCATCGCTTTATTAAGAAGTTGGTTTAAGTCAATATCATTTAGACTCGAGGTCAATGTCACTTTATGTTGATCGTCAATTGAAAGACGGGAAAATTGTTTGTCATATTAAATCAAATTATGTCCCAAATAGTTTGTATTATTTTTAATATGTCTGAATGGTACAGAAATGAATTTCTTTAATTCATGATATTGGTTCATAGCAACTAAGGATTTTTTATTACATTACCTCATCACAGCAGGTGACGATCTTTTTACCTTTGACCTGTTTTAACTAAGTGATGTATTTCCCATGCGTTATATTTGGAATAATTCGTCCAAAGTATCACTGATTTCAATATGAGATTACAAAAATGTACAAACATTGAGCTAGCAAAGGTATAGAGACTAGGCGGACCGATGCTAGAATGCTCACGGAGACTGAAATTACTGTTTGATTGTATGATCAAAATAAAATTATTTATTTGGTAAATTTTCAATTGTTGTGATCGTGCAAAAGAAAGCCCTAGATAGGCTAACAGAGAGCTCAGTTTTTTATCCTGTTTTCGGCATTTGTATTCCATTCTAAAGCCTGTAAATGAGTCAAAAATTTCAATGTCCTCCTGAATAAGACAAAAAGGAATGTTAAAATAGTATGATTACACTTATTACACGTCTGTTTGTTTTACACTTAAATATCTGATTAATATTTCGAAAAAAATCCATCGAAAGCATTAAAAACAGCAAAATTACTGGAAAATTGCAGACTCGGTTTGAGTCTGCACATGACGGATATTAAAAAGTTCAACATCCCTCAATTTCCCTAGCACCGGAGTACTCACCAGCTTGAGCGTTTCTCAATTTTCAAATTGTAAATGTGATAGAATCAATGATCCCGAAGGACAAGAAAAATACAAGTGTTTCGAGAGTGTTTCAATAAGCTTATAGCCTCCAACACAATCGAACTAAAATAAATTTGTATAAACTAATTTTCAACACTTAAATGTGATAGAATCAATGATCCCGAAGGACAAGAAAAATATAAAAAGTCATATTTTTAATGATATCGTGTAACTCTAAATAATGTGCTAAATTATGACAAAAGTAGTAACTGTGCCTGCAAAATATTTGAAAACAAAACTGAGAAATTCTTGCTAAAAAAAAAAGGAACTAAAACCTTAAGTTTTTAACTCTTAGTGATCTGTAAATTGGAAAAAAAAAAAATTTTTAAAAAAAAGTTTAAAAATTTTTATTAAAAAAATTTGGGAAAAAAAAATTGAAAAAAAAAACGAATCAAAAAGCTATCTTTCTCAAAATAGACTCGGTTTAAAAATCAATTAAAAAATTAAAAGCCAAAAGATAATTTTGAAATTGGGGGATTTTACTTTGTTGAAACAAAAATTGTTTTTTTGGACGGTTTCTATATCCAACCGACGGAAATTTTTTCGTGGAATTTTGTACTGTAAAACAAAAATATAAACCTCATAAAAGGAGTTAAAAGTTTATTCTATCGTCTTTTGCAAAAATAAATCAAATTTTTGACTTTTATATTCGAATAAAAACCCCTATTCAGATATTAATGAATGCTCGAGCAACCCCTGTAAAAAATGGTGGAACATGTAAGGATCTTGTTAATAGATACGAATGTACATGTGTTGCTGGGTTTGATGGCATAAACTGCAAAAATAGTTTACACTTCTTATTTTGATACACGATCAGAATATTGTGAACATTCGTAGAAAATGTCATATGTTTTTGTTTTGAATCTCTATATCTAATTTTCTACAACAAAAATATTAAAGTTAAATAAATATCTATTGGAAAAAAACGTTAAAAAATAGGCAGATGTGCAAAACAGTAAAGTCCATTTAAACTCTTGTAACACTAATTTTATTAAACTGTATACCTTAACAGATATAAATGAGTGTTCACCTGACCCATGTAAAAATGGTGGTACCTGTGAGGATCTTGTTAATGACTATAAATGTACATGTGCTGATGGATATAACGGAAAGAACTGTGATATTAGTAAGTTTGCCAGAAATTAATAAGAATATATTAGAAGTAAAATTATATTATTATCATATTCTTATCCGGATATTTTATGTTACACATGACTATAAAATTGGATAAAAATGGATATTAAGTTAATATTTTAATACATGTATATATTATACGAATGTGTCCCCGGATTAAATGGAAGATTGTAGTGAATTTATTGTTAGCACAACCAACAAATCTTGCTAAATATGTCTAGATATATCCATCTGCTGAATCGAGAAGATGCACTTATTTAAATGTTTATTTATATATGATTAGAATAACTCATACATTTATCACATATCAATATGAAATGAAATTTGTCTTCTCCCGTTTAACACGATTCTCACAAAACTCGTCTTTATTGTTTGAATTTTTTGAAATTATTATTTTATTTTGGATGTTTATATTCCTAAAAATAATAAAACTATGATTTTGATTTTTTTAGATGTAAATGATTGTTCACCGAACCCATGTAAAAATGGTGCTACGTGTAAGGATCTTGTAAATGACTATAAATGTACATGTGTTGATGGATATGACGGAACCGATTGTGATAATGGTGAGACAGCTTTTTCTAATTATATAATCAGAACAACATAATTTACTGCCATGTCACTTTAACAATATTTCTTTTCATAGCTTTTTTAACAAATGAAACAATCGTTTATGACTACGAATTAGGTGACTACTATTAACTTCGAAGTAGCTATAGTTAAGTTCATAATAGTTTTTATTATTATGCACTTTTATTGTTAAGAAATCAAGACAACAACCAAGTCCCCTAATCAGAAATTGGCACGAGCTTCTGTCACCATGATATTTCCAGTCCAGTCAAGTTTCAATGTTACAGATCCAAAATTAAAAGATGATGTAAAAAATCAGGTAATTATACTAAAAGTTCGTATTTTGCAACTTTTTATAATTAAAGTATTTTTCAACACCACAAAAACATTTTTTAAACAATTCTTTACAAAAACAAGAGCCTTACTTCTTTGTCTTGGCGGTTGCAGTGAGGTTTTGAACATAATGTTAAACTCAAAGTAGTAAACCAGTTTGACGTGCATTTCCCATTATTTGCATTGCTAAACTTGTATAGGTATTCTTTTAACATTCATTGAAATAACATAATAATCATTTGTTTTCGTGTTGTTTGATGTCACATCTGCTTCCTGTGTTTTAAGCAGATATTGTTATTATCTCAAATTATCAACAAATCTTTTATACTTTTAAACATTTATTTATGTAGCGTATATGTACTGGAATGTTTTTTTTTTATTATTTTTATTGTGCAAATGTTGTTTTTATTTTCTTTTTGCTGTTGTTGTATACTATTGCGTTTTTATAAATCGTTGATTTGTTTATTTCAGCTGATGACACTATACAAAGATTATATGGGAGAAACATTGAAAGATTTAGTAATTAAAAGCATAAGGTAATTTATATAATATAATGATCCGTTTCTGGTAATTGTTGTTTTTATTGTGCTAAGGCGTTGTCTTTCCGTCTGTCCGTCCATAGATATGATAACTCTTAAAGAATTTCAACGATTATGTTTATACTTAGCATGTAAGTATACTTTATGAAAAAAAAAGATTAAGTTTGAATTTCGCAGCAAGCAACTGACTATATATGTCCCTTTTTAAGCAAATATTCTGCGAAATTATTGGTTTCCGCAGGATAATTTTTCTGAAGAAATTTCGTGATTGTGTTTTTATTTGGCATGAAAGAATGTTAAATCAAAACACTGGTTATGTTTATTTCATGCTACACTAAAAATATTTTTTAGAATTATCCCCCCTTTTTAAGATAATTTTTCCCGAAATTATTGATTTCATTAGAATAATTTTTGAAGGACATCAATGTTTGTATTTGTATTTGGCATGCATATTATGTTTTGTTATATTATGATTTTGATTTTATCTGCAATCAATTCATTATAAACTCAGTTATGCCCTTTTTTATGCACACACGTATCTTAAATTATCTTCTCTTGCATATATTTCACATTTGACGAAACATCATCCTTACTGTGCTAAGCTATCTATCTTGAACTTGATACCTTCTTCTAAAATTCCCATCGAGCGTAAGTTGCTTCGCCTTAGCGGAGCTCTTGTTCTTTAAATTAATGATAAATAGTACAGGAGTTATAGCATTAACTTTATCCGGAAACACCCTGTGATACCTGATATCTGAATAAATAAATTATAGTACTACTGTATAAGTATATAAAATTACTGTTTATTTCTCAGTAAAGGAAGTTTGGTGGTTGATTATGAGTTGATATATGCCAACGATACATCAGCTGCTTCAACTAAGATAACCGAGGTCAATATAGCTCTGCTAAGTGGAGGAGAAATCATAAAAGTATTAAATGAAACTGTTTCAGCAACGTCCTTGAAACTTAATGATGTAACAGGTAAGTGGTTGCAAGTTGTTTTTTATAAATTAAATATTATGAATATTTCCTTCTTGATTTATATGGAGTCTAATTATATGTTGAAAATAATCATAAGTATTCTCTTAAACCAAGCGATTATTTTAGCTTGTCTTCAAACAGATAAAATATAACCGAATCTTTATTTTGATTCAGGTTGCAAAGATAAGAAGCATACTAGGTTTTTTTCATCTGCTTTGATAAATTTAATTTACAAATGAATTTAAAAATATATAGTGTTGTACCATGAATATGATTGTAATTGTTGTAATCTTTGCCAGTGTAACTAACTCTAACAAGAATGTAATTTATCTTTCAGTTACTAACACTTCAGTATCAGATGATAAATCAGTGTGTAAAATGTACGAAACACTCAAAGGAATGTGCCCTCCTTATCACCATTGCTCTGTAGTGAACAGACAGCCATCTTGTGTGTAAGTATAGATTAACAGTTTTGATTTCTTGAATGCCGTTAGGTTTTTTTCTTGTAGTTTTGCTAATTTATGGACTTGTTATCTATGGTTATCACTTTATTGTCATTTATCATGAATAAGATGAAAGATAAGCAAGATATAAAATTAAACGTGTTTAACATAAAAATTATTTAGAGAAGTAAAATAAACCAGGTTGTTTTTATTGCCTAGAAAATTGAAATCTATTGAATTATTAAGTTGTCAAATGGAAGTGTACTGTAACAGGTGATATTTAATTGCAGGTTTAAAGAAGTATATGATGAATGTAAGTAATGGATCAAATATGAATCTTCCTAAAGCTTGCCCGGTTTGTTGTAAAACAATAATTGTATGAATCATAGTTTTATCAGTTAAGATCTTAAATGTTGTAGAAAAATGATAATTGATTAGGATGAAATAATGTTGTAACGAAGTTAAATCTTTAGCTTCGTATGAATGATTTCATTAATGCTTAGCTTTTTATTGACAATAAATATTATCATTTTATCCATATTTTTCAAATATTTGATGAGAAAGATGGGAAAACATTGCATAGCTCTGTCAATACTGTTCATCATACGAAAGTCTTTCATTTGTCTTTTACCTTTATATTTGCTTCATTTCATATTTCTTTTATTTACAGCTGGTTTGACGTTTGTGGTCATTGTTGTTGTTTGTGCAATAGTCGGGCCGATCATCATTATGCTAATTGCCTGCTTAACGATTCGTAAGATACGAATCAAGGACAAGTTGGAGTATAACAGCAACAATCATCAGATTATAAATGAGTAATTCTCGCTTTTAATATTTGCATATTTATTTGTATAACAATCAATAAAACATATCTTTAATTGTACAATCAAATTATTTAAAAACCTATAAAGATTACTAAACGATAGATTTCCTTCCGTTTTTTTTTCAATACGAATGAATATTTCAATTATGATCATACAAATAAAACACGATTTTCTAAATCTAAACAAAGTCAAATGGCTGATTTACAACTTTTCAGATTTAAGAGTTCAGGTCATTGGTTCATTGGTTCGTACGGAAACCAACTAAGTGGCCGAACTTTCAAACCGGACAGTTACTTCCCAGATCATGACGTCAACTTCAGAAGATCAAGTGGATATACTTGTTGAGTACCCTGCCTGCAAGTATGGACATTACTAGACATTAACATTCACAATGTCACAATTACGTTTATATCTCGAAGGAATTTGTAAGCTGGGAAATCAACAACATTATATGCAGTATAATAATCAGTGAAGAATACTGAATTTATTATGGATTTTCATACAAAACGACGTGTTAACATTTTGCTTTTGTTGTATGTGCGCATGTTGTATATTAAAATTGAAATTTTGATTTGATTGTCAGTTGTTCGTTTTAATACTTACAATAAAAAGCTATGTTATTGAATATTGCTTTCTAAGAAAAATGTATAAAGGAAAAGATAGTTCAAATATATAATAAACAAATTGAAAGTAAGCTAAAAAACGTTTAAGAATAGAATAGAATAGAATAGAATTTAAAGGAATGTTATATAACATAATGATTTAAATACTTATTCATATCTATTTAGCATTTCATGTAAAAATATATCATTATTATTAATATAAATGAAAAAAGCTTTGAGTAAAAATAAAAACCTGTAAGTAATTAAAAATAATGTTAATTGATAGAAGAATTTAAACTCGTGTACCTGTTCAATTTTAAATTGAGGCGTATTAAATTATTATCGTTTTTTAAATGTTTTGTTTTGTTTTTTGCTACTACTATTAAGTTTGAAGTTTACATTTAAATTATAATCGTTTCACACAAATCATAACATTGTATTACAAATGTCTTTGCTAAATATTATTTTCTGTCGAGCGTAAAGCAAGTTTGATTTTACTTTACATCATCCATATATTTTTATTCTGTGTATTAAACGTGTATATAGTGTAACGTAACTGTGTTTCACCCTGCAATTGTACATTATCTGTTTTATTTCGTTTGTTTTAACATGTATTTAGTTTGATTATTAGAAGAATAATGGGCTGGGCCTCGTTGTTACACTGGTTTACAGTTATAAGCTATTTCTTGTTTTACATTGTATAGAGGATATTTGTTTAGTTCAGTGTAAGATCGGAACATATTTTACAGAGTGAGCACCACGAATGAAATATGAACTTTTGGTGTTCACGAGGTGAAATATTTCCATCTTACATTAAACTAAACAAATAATCTTTTTATTATATGCAAAGAAACGTTTAAAAAGATTTAAACCTAGTACTAAATGAAAAGGGCGCAAAATAATAATACAATGTGACATCATTTACGACGTCACGTCATTAAGCTAGTTTCCAGTACTGTGAACGTTTGTATTTCACTGAAACAACGTAACGGGCTCAAACATTCAAAACAGTGAAATTAGCAAATTGATAATTTCACTGTTTATAACAGTGAAATTAATAGTTTTTATTGCACTAATATATTTTTATCATTCACCGAAAAGCATGTAATAAAACTCATCAATCTTTGACCCATGACTCGATTATGGATTTCGAGATAAACATAAAGTTTTGCATGCAATATCAATCTCAAAAACAAAAATAAGGTATTCACTTGGATCTTTTTTAACATTTCTTCATGATCATACTTGAAGGTGGCTGTCCAAAGTTCATAAATCAGGCTATTTGTAAACTTAGAAAATTATTGGTTAAAGTTTTGCATGTTCATCAATCTCAGAAAACGATTTAAGATATCCACATGAATTTTAATACATGTCTTTGACAACATAATTTCTAGTCAATATCAGAAGTCCATCATTTTTACATGGGTTTTGCCTAAATAATGGCCTTGTGCGTTAAATGTCAATTTTAAATACAAATTAGATCTGCATTTACATATTCCTTCGTTATCATATTAGATGACTCTGACATGCATTTTGACTAAATAATGGCCCTTTGTGATTTAAGAGAAATCATGGTTAAAGTTTTGCATTCAATGTTAACCATCAACTTAGAGGTATTCGCTAGATACTTATTAAATATATTTGAGATCATTATTGGAGATCCCTTTCCTCAAACCAAATTCTGTTTTGGTAGTCATCAGATTAAGGGGTTATGTAAACTTAATTCTTAGTGATGACTTTGTGCATCCTTAATCTTTTAAAATAACTGAAGGTATTCACTTGAAATCTAATCAATGATTTCGAAATAATAAATTATTTTCCAGTGTGCTATAATAAGATCACTGTCCAAGACCCATAACACAGACAAGTATTTTGAATGGATTTTGTGAAGTGACCCTATATAAATATCTGAGACTATAGTATTTCGAATAAAATCTTCGTCTTTATTATTGAAGGCTATCACTTGTTTTTCAATCAAGCACTTTTAAAATTCAAGCGCTCTGACAGCTTTTGTTTATGTAACACACGTTCATCATTATATTTATTTCCTTTTCTGTGTTGTATTTTAAATGTTCATCATTTGTTTTTCGCTGTTTACATTTTAATTATATGCAAATAAGAACCATGATACAAAGAGATTGCTCATAAGAAAATTACAGCAAGTATAATTATATTGTTGATTTTTTATTGTTTTGTACAGTCTCTTAAAGATCCTGTAACTCAATTTTATGATTTTTTATATCATAAATATGATGCTCAAATAAAGATTTTATCAATATTGTAAGTTGTAAAAAAGCATTATTTATAAAGATATTACCGAATTTACATGTAAATAAAGGGAGGTAATTAAAAATTTATTTGAAGTCAAATTTTTCAATAAGAAATGAATGCATATATTTTAAAGATTACTTATAATGCAAATAAATGTTTGCAGTAGAAATTAAACATATTATTGGATGTTTGGAGATTACTTATATAAATATATATATTTCACTTAATTGTTGTTACATGCTTAATAACAACATGCAGGATCTTTAACGCTTGCAAAGAAGACGCAAATAGCAATATTGCTTTTAGATATGAATTATAATTATACAATATATAATTATTTCTATTAAAGATATATTATGCTCAAATATGATGCTAAAAATACTCATTTTACAGTTACTGAAGTGTTCTGTTTCCTTTTGTTTTCAAATACCTTTTTAACATGTTTATATTCACTTTAGTAACCTTTGTTATATATACAGAATAAAAAAAAAATTATTTGTATTAGAATTGTTTATGACGAATAAATGGATTGAATACAATAGCTTAATGTTATTTATGTAAGACCCAGGTCAAGGTCCAATCATAGTTAATATGCAGTTTGGGTTTTTGTCAGATTCATAACTTCTACATGTCAGATGGGATTTCAAAAAATAACATATTTCGTTCACATGAACACGACCAGTAGAGTTCTAGTAGAGTAGAAAATGTGTGACATTCATGACTCAAAGGTTATTGTCACAGCAGGATATGAGCCAAGCTGTTTTGTAATGTATTATTTAGTGCAATAAATGGCAAGGATAAAGGCATATCCTTCCAAAGATAATGAACTTTTGGTCCACATTCGCACGCGGAGAAAATAAGACATGGCATAAAATCATAAAATTAAAATAAAGTGAGCTAGACACGATTTAAGCATTATGTATATGGACGGTTTGCAGTCATCAAAAATAATAATCTCAAACTAGTCAGCATGTGTAAGGGACCATTTTTCGTCGCCCTTAGAAGTGCATGATAAAGGTGTGAAACTTAGAAAATGATAGAAGAATCTCTAATACTCTCTCATTATAGCAAATTCAAAATTGTTTTAGGCAAGGTTTGATTGAGACTGTTCATTGACGAAAGTGGTAAACAGAGCACAGACCTGAGAAGAATTCAACATTTAAAATGACATTTTGCTCATTTTGTTAAGTTGAGATGAATAAACAATAGGTTTCGAAAAGTCTCTAAAATAAAGGTAATTAATAAATAATTGATGGTAATTTGTATGATAAAATATATGACCTATTTAAAATATAAAAGGACTGTCCTTCACTTTAAAAAAAAACGTTAATGGTAAATTCCAAAAAAAATATTTATAGAATGTCCCTATGTGTCATATGACTTATCATTTTACATCTTGAAATAGAAAGTAGAACACATAAATGATAAATATTCACGTGTGCACTACTCATTTAAACTGGTTATGTTAATTTAAGATGATAATTTTGATAAACCGTTAATGTGACACGTTCGATCCATTCGATGAAAAGCGGCGTATATACCCAAGGTACAGAATCCATGTACCCTAAAAGATAAAAGAATTGGCGGAACAAAAAAGGTGGGATGAATTTGGAAAGGGGATGAATTTCGTTCAGAAAAAAGATATGAATTTTGTTTAATTGATTTTTACGCTGAGCGAAGAGTGAGCATATAGTCGCTGCTTTGTCCATCCGTCCGTCCGTTTATCTTGCCAAGGACATAACGCTGGTTTGCCTAATTTTGGAGTTAATGCCATTCGTTCATTTCGTTGTCTGGAACATAACTCGATAACTATAACAGATATCAACATGAAACTTTGTAGATCTCATTAAGTAGAAAGGCAGTGCATAAGAACCATAACTCTGCCTTGCCTAAATTTGAAGTAATTGTCATTTGTTTATTTTTACACTTTAAATTTTGTCCGGGACATAACTCTAAAACCATAAGATACATCAACATGAAACTTTGGAGGTAGATAGATATTATTGAGTAAAAGTGCAGTGCAAAAGAACCGTTACTCTGCCTAGCCTTAATTTGGAGTAATTGCCCTTTGTTCATTTTTATACTTTGAACTTTGTCCGTGACATAACCCTTATACTATAAGAGATATCAACATGAATTTTGTAGGTAGATAGATTTCATTGGGTAGAAATGCAGTGCCCTTTGTTCATTTTTACATTTTGAACTTTGTCCGGGACGGGACATAATTAAAACCTATTCAGGGAGCATCACCCGGTTCAATCGGTTTTTGTGCTATTTGAAATAAAAATGTTTCAATGTGATAAAATTTATTGCAGATATAGAAATACCCCTTTGTGAATGCTTAATAAATTCATGTTATAAATTATGTAGTGTATGTTGTTATACACGGCAGGCAAGTATACAGAGATAAATTATCATGTATTGAAAAAAAATGTTATTGTAAACGACATAGTGCTTTTTATCAATTTACAGCTTAAATTTAACAAATACCTTATATAAGGTGTGTGTTTATTAAACTAACAGTGTTTGTGTTTCATAATTAGGTAGAAAGACTGTAATTGAAAAATATCAAGTAATTCTTACAAATCGAAAATTTATTCTAGGGTCAGATAACTCAAAAGATAGGATAATGACCTTATTACTTTTAAAGAAAAATTTCGACGCCACTCACAATGTTCCTTTTTTGCCTTTGTAAAATATTTTTCTAAAATGTACATAATCTAGCTGTAGTGTTTTGAATTTACAATAAAATTGAATTGAATATACGATACGTTGCAACAGTGAAACATTTAAATTTCACATTATCTCTCACTAACAAGTTCAATTAAAGCGAGTCTTCAATTTTCTTATAATATCCGCTTCCGAGGGATATATCTTTTTCCAGAATTTTACCCTTAACATTTTAATATTAGAACAAAGGTCTGATAATTACAGAAAGTGGGTTATACCTTATTAACTTTACAGCAGCAAAACATTTTATTTTATCATATACAAGAGACGAGAAAAGATAATTGTGTCATGCTTTCACAAGTACATTTCTTCATTTACGGGAAATAATTAGTACATTTAATATTAATATAATTTCTGCTATTCCATTTCTCAATATAGATATAATAAAATCAACGCAAATCGATGTGCGAAAATCAGAAAATATGATAAACAAGATCAATAAGGAAAGGCGGCGTTCAATGAACGCAAAGTTCATAATAATAAGAAAGTAATAATTCAAACGTTTTTATATCAATATAATTTAAAATTTGTTTTAACAACATTAACATAAAACTACCCATGCATCGACTATTTGTCAAACAGGAAGAAAATTTTAGATAAATTAGATAACGTTATGATCGGATGTCTTAAAATCTTAAATAAGCGTTATTTTGTGAATATGTAGACTTTACTAGTGAAATTATATCATAATGTTCTTCAAGATGGGTTGATTCTTTTATAGGGAAATATTACATATTCACTGTACGCTTGCAAAATGTATATTTATGTTGATTTGATTGTTCTAAGTGTCGGATTCTTTACAGGTTAGATACAGGCTAATTTTCATATATATTTAATAATTTGTCGTTAAAAAAATAGTATTTCTTACCTTTAATTTAAATTTTATAATAATATAAAGTCTAGACACAGGATTCCTTCGTTTAAATTTGCTCTTACATAATATGATTTAAAGCTGTATCATCAAGATAAAATTTCTTTAGTACGAGTATATGTTTGAATTAATTATGAGAAACCTAATATGAATATTGCTTTCCTTAATACAAAAAATATTAATAAGAATCTCAGTTAGTCCTTTATGTATGACCACTATTCTACTTGTCTTGAGTATACCATGCATTTTATGAAGTGGTTTAATCAACTTTATCTACAAATATGATATGTCAATTTTAATATTAGGTAATGATATCGATGCATCAGGATTTTTATGTCTTTATAACTGTAGGTGCAGCTGCCTTAGATTGCTTCAGTTCAACAAAAGGTATATGTGTTATTTAATTTACTTAAGAAATGTTCAAAATTATGATTTGATTTTCAAGATAGGGACAAATCTGCTGTTTGGTAGTTCATATCCTAAAGTTTCAGTCCGAAATTGGACATTAAGTTTCATTCATAACGATAAAACTATTAGTTTTTAAATCTAATGAAAAGTAGTTCAGCAAGAGCATCGAAACAGCTTTTTTCTTTTTGTTCCATATTCGTCATTAGTTATTTATAGGTTTTTTGTCGAAATTGACAAATATTTCCAATAGATACTGGTAAATTCGTGGACTATTGTATAAATAAACAAAAACATAGATAGACAATAATTGATTTTAAAAAAATGTAAACAAAAACAATTTTTATGATTTTTTAAGATAAATGCAATGAAAATAGTTTTGAATAGAAGCTCATACTTATATAAAGAAAATAATAAGTGTGTATCTCGATAATGCGTCGTAACATGTGCATTATCAATTTATCTTTCAGACATATGCAGTGCCGAGATTCCAGGTATTCCGAATTTATCATCAAGAGATCCAACGTTTGTGATGACAACGGAAACGTCACATTGGACATTTTGTGACGTATATTCAATTAATATATCCCAATGGTACAGAAGTAAAACACTGATGAGCACAAGTTGTCCGAGCATGTACATGTGTGGAACAAAGTTTCCTATCTGGATGAACGGTAAGATTTGCAGATAACATTATATTATTTAAAAGTCAGCAAATGTAGTTTTTTGCCATTTCATCTCGGGTACAGTTATCACTTTACGGATCACTACCGTTCACAAAAGAGTGATCAACGCGTTGTTGTATTTATTAAGTTGTAACTGTAAAATTTTGTATGTTCCCCGGAATTAGATGGGGCAAAAAGCCAACATTTTCCGAGTACAAGAAGAGTAAATAAACTATTGATAAAATAATAATAAATCTATATACTAGGTTTAATTCAATTTTTAAATTAACCGAAACAAAATGTTACTACTAAAAATAGATTAGTTTTTATGATATGAATTAACATAATGTAAACTACAATATATCAAAATTTTGATGCCTAAAATTACGGACTCAGTAATTTATAAGTTTCCCGGAAATCACTTTATGACCTAATTAATGTCCTTTTGAAAAGTAAAACATAAAAAGTAGAGACCTTTGTTATTGTTAAATATTTCATACGGTTTTAAGGTCAGAACCCAGAACCGACTGAAGGTGTGGTAAATCGTACTTCCTGTCTCAAAGACTTTGATAGTTGTTGTCTGAACAGCTACAGGTTAACAGCTGTCAATTGTAAGGAGTACATGGCTTATTGTTTCGTTGATCTTCCATCAAGTTGTCATCAAAGATATTGTTTTGGTAATTATAGTTCATTTATTATATTTACATGGTGTATGATGATAATACATAGCGAATTGTTTGTCAATAAAGCAAAATACATTATCTTAATCAAATAAAATGTCGATATTGATATGATTGATTTTCGCTTAATATGATTTCTAACATCATTCAATACTTAAAGATTATAGTTCAGCATCTACAACTGCGGCTCAACAGACAGCCACAAATGCTACCAGCACCACAATGGAACTAGAAAGTACTACAGAAATTCAAACAAGTTATCCAACCACGACAGTCAAATATGAAGGTACTAAACTTAGTTCTGCAAGTGTCAAGTACACGTCAACTAAAGGGGATTCATCTGTCATGACATATCCAAGTACCACAACTAAACAGGAAAAAACTTCAGGCATTGTTACAGAGTTTATTGACACATCAACCAATGGCGAAAAATCAAAAACATCAACACACGAACGTATGTATTTATTTGCGAAAAAATTGTATCAATTGATTAATGTATGGCATTTTCTATGCAAAACTAATGTACATGGTCTATGATTATTAAACATTGTGAATTGTTTATAAAGTAAAATACATTACCTTAATTTATCACATAAACCGCGGCGCAGGAGTGTAATAAAGCCATTTAATAAAAACGATATTACACTAGTGTAATAACACTTTGACGTGACGTCATTTGCGCTATATATAAACATAGCGTTAAAGCGCGCTAATGTTAGCGTTACACTATAAACGCGTCGTTGAAAAATTACTCATTTTAAGTTTACTGTTCTTATTTTATGTATGTGATAAAAAGAATATTATATTCGTCTAGATTCAATACTCAATTTATTAAACTCGTTGAATAAAACAATATTATGCTCGCCAGAGGCTCGCATAATATGATTTTATTCAACTCGTTCAATAAATTTAGTATTAAACTACACTCATTCAATGTCCTCTATGTATTTTAATAAGGTTTTTTCTTATGGTTTCTAACATCTTTCAATATTCAAAGATTATAGTTCAGAATCTACCACTGCGCCTCAACAGACAGCCACAAAATCTACTATCACCACAACTGTACTGGAAAGTACTACAGAAATTCAAACGAAATATCCAACCACGACAGTCAAACATGAAGGTCCTACACTTAGTTCTACTAGTGTCAAGTTCACGTCAACTAGCGAAGATACATCTTTCATGACATATCCAAGTACCACAACTTCACCGGAAAAAACTTCAGGAAGTGATACGAAATTTATTGACACGTCAACAAATGGCGATAAATCAAACACAACAACACAAGAGAGTATGATTTTATTTGCGTAAAATGTTATCAATTGATTAATAATTGACATTTTCTACGCAAAGTTTATCATGTGGTTGAAACTACATTGTATTTTTTTAACTTTAAGATTAAACCGTATTATTTGTTAATTCTTTAAAATAATTGATAGGGTATAACAAATAAACATTCAAAATGAACAACAAGACATGTAAATATCGTACTAAAAAGCCAAACAATATTTGTAGATTTATTAAAGACATATCTTGTTTAAAATATAATATTATAAACCAAACTTTTTTTCAGCGCCTGCTGACGATCACGATCTGCTTATTATTACAATATCAATAATTGGCCTTATGGTAGCAGTTATCTGTGGTTTGCTGATTGTCATCTTTTGGCGAAGACGGTATGTATCATTTTGTACTTCTGTTATTACTTTGAATTATTTTAAAACAAATGCTTCTTCTTCTTAATCGGATTATTTGTATAAAGATATTTTGAAAGGTTAATTTATTTATAGAATGCCAAAGGTAACTGATGAAACAGACAAAACAAAGGTGTATGAAACATTAAAATCTCCGGATACAAAGACCAGTAATGAGGGCGAGCATGTATACCGAATCGTTAGTTTTGACAACTCGGAACCCGCAGTTCAGATTGAAGGGAAGTTAGGAAATTATTACAGTAACTTTCAAAGCTGCAAGAGCTACTGTGCCAATGTTGATTACCAATTCGCCAACACGGAGAGAGTACATTATGATGAAGATGAACACTATGTTACACTGCCATAAGTACAGAAAGAGTTATTTCAATTGCATTTTAAACACTGTACCGGTTTAATAATACTAATTTAACAGTATGTGCGAATGTCAAAGCCTCGACAAGGCAATCATAAATTGTATAATTAAGTTAGTATACGCCAACATAATAACAGGTTATTTTTTACATCAATTTCATATTCTACAGCTTAAGGGCATTTCCAAATGACTTCCTTCAAATGATCAACGAATAGATGCTTTCTTTTTGTTAAGATGAAATTGGTCGATATGAGGAAAATATAATTATATATAACACTGTCGTGTGCGGAATGTTTGTACGTGTGATTAACATTAAAATTAAAAATAAGTGTCCGTATTCGAAAGTTTTATAAAAATGTGCATAACTGATCAAGTATTTTCGAGTTTTTAACCATTTATTCTTTTTAGACATCTGAAAATTTAACATTTGAATAAAAATGAAATCTACACATTTGTCAAAATCTTTTAAGTAAACAGTAAAATATAACATTTGAAAAAATGAAATCTTCTCATTAGTCAAAATCTTTTAAGTGAACAGTAAAATATGTTTTTCATAATTACTTTGTAATCATAATTCACTGTAACCAACTATTACTAGATGCAGATTAAAAGAAGAAATAATAACAAAATGGAAATTCTAACGCTCGGTTTCTGTTTACGCCATATTTATAACACACAATGAACATGTTCACTCCAATAGTGACTCAACAGAAAAAGAGTATACAAATAAATAAGATGTTATTTTAGAAAAGGTGCGGCTTCTTTTTATTTCAGATACTATTTATTCAAATGTTGTTTTTTACATTAAAATAATTGTTTGTGTTCAGTTGACATTTTTAAAGTGAATAATACTTTTGCCTTTAGAATTAAAAATGTGGTTTGATTTTTTAAAAATAAATATATTTTGAAAATGATAGGTTGTTGTATATTTCTTTTAGAGAAAGATGGCATATAAACGAAACCGACTGAACGCTTGAAACCCTACTTTAAAAAGCAGCATAAAATTTAGTTTGTTAAATTACATTCAATGTTACAACTCTTTTCAAAATCGACCATGTTATTATAATTTTATCACCTAAAAGGGCGTCATTAATCACATAGTTCGACTGTCTGTCTGTGCGTTCCCACTTATAAAACATTCGTGTCCGAACTGTAACTTGGTCATACATTGACGGATATTATACATAACTTGGCTTAAAGGTCTACCACATTCATGATGGTGTGCCGTTTTTAGGACGCATGTAATTTTCTTAAAGGTTTAGGTTGAATATACACCACTTTCACAACATTCGTGCCTGGAATGTAACTTTGTCATGCATTGAAGGATTTTAAAATAACGTGGCAAAAATATCTACGCATTATGATGATGTGTCGTGTTTAAGAGTCATGTCCTTACCTATAATGTCAAGGTTTTATTCACAGTTTAAATGTTCACATTCTCACAGTTTAAAGGTACACATATTCGGGTCCGGACTGTAACTCTGTCATACGTGGAAGGATTTTTAAATAATGTAGCATATATGTCTACCATATCAAGACGGCTTGTCACGTTCAAAACCCATGTCCCTATCTCCATGGTCAAAGTCACACTCATAGTTTGAAGGTACTCATTCTCACTAGAAGAGTTGAATGTACTGTGTTATAACTTTGATTTGGCAAAAATGTCTACCATATCAAGAAGACGTGTAGCGTCCAAGATCCATGTCCCTACCTCCCATCTACTTAACTATCACTTTTTAACATAAAATATTCCTACTACTCGAACAGTTTGTTCAACTCTCCTGAAGAAAAGTAACATAGCGTTTTAATTGGCATTTTTGACAATATATTTTAATTTTCGTGGTAGGACAGTTCAAGAAATAAACGGGTGTTCATTTGCAAAAACCTAAGAATAACAGGGTATGATACAAAAAATTAGAGAGTATGATGACGGCCCATAAGGTTAGAATTTTAGGTAACACTATACCTTAAGTAAGAAATTAAATATCATTAGACGTTTTCCCAAAGCATTGAAACACTAGTAATTTGAATATCTCTGAAAATAAATATTTCATTAATTTTATTTTGATAATACTTTTATTTATTTTGTTTGCTATTTTAGAAAAAGATATGATATAGAAAGTTATAGAACAAAGAAAAAATAAACATGGTGATACTGATAATGTCAGATAAAAAATATCAAATATTCCAAATAAAACTTTATATCTTAAGATTTTTAATTTGTTTGTTCTTAGTGACAATGTCGCTGAAGCTTGATGTAAAGGTATTACCATTCCTATATACACGAATAAAGGTTCAGCAAATGACCCAGCATATAGAAGGGAAAAAACAATATCAATTGGTCCAGATAAGCTTTATCGCATCAAAATTAAATGAAGGATTGAATACATTTCGTAACGGGCGTGAGAACAAGCAGGATTTCAAAAGAATTACTGAACGTTAGGTGATGAATTTTCTTTAAGGGAGATTTATCTTTAAAAAAACTAAGACTTCAGAGACACATTCGTCAATATAAATGTTATTATTTATGTCAGAAATTTATCGTCTTAGTCGATGACTCCTAATATTTCTAGTAGCGAGTACTTATATTGGCTATTTCAACTCCTTTTTTTTGTTACATTTTCAATTATTTCTTTATTATGATGTTACGGTGTCAATGTTGAATTAAATAGAAAAAAATTTCAAGATAGCCTAAAGCAACAAATTCATTTGAATAATAAACAATACATCATGGTTCTAAAATCAAAAGAAAAACTGATATCTGCTTTTATTTCAATATGCTTATCACTTAAGAAAAACGAAATGATAGTTTAAAGGTATGATTTCTATTTTCGACGAAGAAATAACTTCCATGCTATTTTGTTTTTTCATAACTGCGACATATGATGTTCAAGCACTATTTAATACTGTGCGTGCTAAATGCTAATTCACAATTATAGTTTGGTGCCATCGGATCAAACTCTCCATGGAGCTATATTCGTTGGGAGCTATATGCAGCTATTATTTAACACCAATATAATTGGATATTTTATTATATATTCGTATTGTTTATAAAACACATTGATTATTCGTGTATTAAATAAATATCGAAAAGTTAAGAGATTAAATATCACGAATGAGTTTTGTTTCTTTTTTTCGTTGTAAAGTAAAATAATATAAAATAGTGCATTTCCTTCTAAAATATTATAACATATTTTGTAAAGACTTTATTGCGCCAATATTTGGATACTTGGAAATATTTTTATTTGAATGTTTGTCAAAAAGCACCGAAAGCTTTAAGTTAGACCCATATTAAATCATTAATTTATTCGTAAATATTGATTTTAAAAAATGTCAACAGTCTTTTAGTTTGTCAACGCAAAGTTTAGAATTTAATAACTTGAAAAAAAAACAATGTATAATGATTATTTTACAAAGCTTTTTAATTTGTGACGAAAAAAATAAAGGTCCATTCTGCCCCAGAAATGCTAGTAATTTTCAGTTTTTCAGAGTACAGCTGTATTGATAAAGTATTCTTTACGAAATCAAAATACAACTTTGGTTACATTTTGATATTTGTATCACAAAAAATTTCACATTTAGCGCTACTTTCGCCAGGTAATAAGCACCTAACATGTTCTACAAGTATTTTTGAAACATTATAAAATTCATGTTGTCTTTCCTTAAGAATTAAGAACCCATTGCTTTTAAGGCATAATGTGCCTTTAAGCCTAACAAGTACAAATATTTAGCGTGAGGCAATATTTTATCTTCAACTTCCCGAATAACCAGTTATGCATACTTATATGTTTGAATTAATGATTTTTTGAACGAGTACATAAACTGACAATAAATATATCAAAGAAAACTTTCAAATTATCAGCTCATATTTATATTACTTTTACCGGTTTTCCCCTTCTTTGCAATATTAACGTCAGCGATATAATCACAACATCCGATAATTTTAATGATTTATATGGGAAAATATTTACAGTCATAATATACTTATGATATGTAATAATACTTAAAATTTCGGTATGATGAATATCAAAATCTGAAATCATATAGCTTTCATGTTTGACATCGTCATGGTTTGTGAATAAGACTACATGCTACGTTCGGCTGTCGGTCTGTTTTTTTTTTTTTTTGTTTTTTTTTTATTTAATGGATTTTCTATACAAAAAAATACAAGCAATAACAAATGTATAATTTAATAAAAAGAAAATGTCTGAAAGTTATTTTTCCGTATAATGCAACTTCCAAAGATAATGTCATCACACCGTGCAATTAAATGTGCAGACAGCAGTTCAAGCGTCGACAGCTGTATCAGTATATAGATGTCGGCGCAGCAAACACAATCGACGAACAGTAAGTATTCATCTTTTTTTTTACCATATCCCAACTTTGTTCGAGTAAATCAATATTATGGATTTATAGTCAACATCCAGAGGATCATGCTTAAAAAGTTCTGACTCTTTGCAAGCTTTACTTCACGTGAATTTTGACTGAAAATAACCACACTATCCGATGAGATGCGGCCTTTTTTAAAGTCACAAAAACTAATATTTTCTTATGATAATAAATCCTGTTATCATACGATTCGTAAACGTCAACATTTCGTTATTAAATATTTCAAACCATACCTTCAAAAATGTTTTTCTGTTAAAGTTATAGGGTATTAAAGTTTAAGGGTCAAAAACAAGTTTAGTAACGTCATCGGCCATTCGCCTTTTTTTAATGATTACATCGACAGCCATTCATCGGCAAGACTGAATAACGCTGAAAGCCGATCAATTTTCAGCGCTTTTGTGCTACAGCAACTAGCAAAGAGTAAACTTTTTTTGTTATTTAAAATATTAATTTATTATTGATACTTTCTAATAGACCTCATGCTTACGAAATCCATCTGCTCTTCAATAATTTCTAAATTTCCAACATAATAAAACCCCGATACAAAACTAACACTTGCATGTCTGTTTGTTCCTGTTTTCTTTGTTAATGCATTTTAAGCTTAAGTAACAGGTTACAATGAAAATGCCATGACGATTTTATCTTTCGGACATGGGGTATGTTTTTACTTTTGGACTTTCACATTATGACCTACTTAATGTCCTTTTGAAAAGTAAAACATAAAAAGAAGAGACCTTTGTTATTGGTTAATATTTCATACTGTTTTAAGGTCAGAACCCAGAACCGGCAGAACGTGTGGTAAATCGTACTTCCTTTCTCAGAGACTTTGATAGCTGTTGTTTTAACAGCGACAGGTTAAGACTGTCAATTGTGAAGAGTTATTTGCAAAATGTTTCTTTGATCTGCCATAAAATTGTCATCAAATATATTGTTTTGGTAATTATAATTTATTTATCACATTTACATGGTGTATGATAATTGTTTGTTAATCAAGCATAACACATTATCTTAATTAAATAAAATGTCGATATTTATATGATTAATTTTGTCATTTGATTTCTAACATCATTTAATATTTAAAGATTATAGTTCAGCCTTAACAGACAACCCCAAAAGCTACCACAACTGTACGGGAAAGTACTGCAGAAAGTCGACACCGACAATCGAATATAAAGGTAATAAAGTAAGTTCTGCTAGTGTCAAGTTCACGTCAACTAGCGAAGATTCATCTGTCATGACATATCCAAGTACCACAGTTACACTGGAAAAAAATCTTCGGGACGTGTTACGGAGGTTATTGACACGCCAGGCAATGGCGATAAATCAAAAGAAAACAACACCGAACGTATGCTTTTATTTGTGCAAAATGTTATCAATTGATTGATGTATGCATTTTCTTCGTAACGTTTATCATGTGGTTGAAACTATATTGCATTTTTTTAACTTTAATATTAAACCGCATTATTTGTTAATTCTTTAAAATTATTTAATGGGTACAACAGATAATTTCATTGATTTAAAATGA